AGCTGCTATTAAGGTTAGAGCACTCCACATTAGAGCACCCACTGGAGGTTCTATTTAAAAACAAGTAAAAACAAAAAAGGGCATTTCCACTGCAGAATGATATGCTCTTTCCCATATTTGTAAACATCCTAGTGGAAACTGAATATTAACAGCAAAATCTTAGTGGCAACCTAATTCCATATCACCGCACACAAACTAGTTTTGTTACACGTTTTCACTGTGGCATATGGAGGTCCTTTGCTGGACTCCTGGACATTTAAGAGCTAGAAATGGGAAAAAGCAACCAATAGCAAGGTTGCTAACATTCTACAAATGTCATCCCTCTTCTCCTTATGTTTTGTTGATCCTTTCTTCTCTGTTCATATTTTATGTCCACCTTTATTTCTCTTTCATTCTTTTTTTTTTTTTCATCTTTCCTATGTTACAAGCCAATCATGATAACAACAGCAGCCCGAACGCACTGCTTAATACCATACAGAATTTTGGCTTATTTACTTTGGGTTTTGTTGTGGGTATTGTTGTTGTTTGAGAAAAATTGACAAAGTACCTATAAAAAGGTGTGGACTTTGAATAGAATTTTGTCTTCAAGATTCTTTAGCTTGAGGGGCTGGAGAGATGGCTCAGTGGTCTAAAGCACCTACTTGAAACAAGCTTGGCAAAGCACAAGGACCGCGGTTCAATCCCCCAGCACCACATGCCAGCCAGCCCCGCCCCCTGGTGGGCTGAGCTGGCCACACACACACACACAATAAATAAATGTAATAAATAAAAAAAAAAAAATTAATAAAAAAAAAAAAAAAGATTCTTTAGCTTGAGCTATGGTTTACAGTGCAGTTATGGCCAAGTCCAAGAACCACATCACATACAACAGTCTGGAAAATGAGACAAAAATGTATCCAGAAACCTTGGTCACAAAGATTCGAACCTCTGAAGGGGGTAGATCCCAAGTTCCTCAGGAATATGCTTTGGCAAGAAGCACAACAAGGGCTTCAAGAAGATGCAAGCAAACAATGCCAAGGCCATGAGCGCACGCATCAAGGCTATCAAGGCCCTCGTCAAGTCCAAGGAGGTCAAGCCCAAGATCATCCCAAAGGGAGTAAACCGCAAGCTCACTTGACTTGCCTATACTGCCCACCCCAAGCTTGGGAAGTGCATCTGTGCCCGCACTGCCAAGGGTCACAGGCCTTGCTGGCCAAAGGCCCAGGCTCCAGTCAAGGCCCAGGCTCCAGCTTCTGCTCCAGCCCAGACTCCCAAAGATGCCCAGATTCCCATGAAGGCTCCCCAGTAAAAGCCTCTTATCTGCCGATATAAAAACAGAAGGACTGGTGTGACCCCTGGGGTGTCATCTGTGGGGAGCTAGCGTCCTCCTGTGCTCTCTGTACAAATAAACCTGAGGCAGGGTATGTTTTTTAAAAAAAGATTATTTAGCTTTTTAAATAAAGAACATATTGGAAAGTAATTTAAACAAGCGGCTAGAAACTCACTTGATAAAACTGTCTCCAGAAATTTAGGGCTATCAAACACAGTTGTAAACTACCAAAAACCCAGAAATTCTCCCAACCCAAATATAAATTCATTTCCTCCTATTAATGCCTTAAGCAATCACCTGGCAGGATCCCCTTCTAATCCACACAACTGCCACGTTGCAACGTCTTTAACCACACTGTTTAGAGCAGAGTCTAGGCTCTTGGTATCTAAACTGGGCTATAACAGCACTATCCAAACAGAAACAAAATGTGAGCCACCTTATTTAGTTATAAGTTTTCTCACAGTAGTACTGAAAAAAAAAGATAAAATATACCTCTTTTTTCCCTTGCAGAGCTAGAGATTGAAACTGGGATCTTGCACATAGTAGAAATTTACATTTTTTAAAAATTTCATCAAAATCCAGTTTGCATTATACACTAACAGCATACCACATCTTGTACTAGCTGCATTTCAAGTGTCCCATGTGACTAGAGGCTACTAGGTAGGCCAATGGAGATGTACATGGTGCAGGAGATAGGAACACACTGAATATTAAAATCTACAATATGACAAAATAGATACCTAGTATACTAAGCGCTGATGTTTCCATAGTGTTGGCTACACTATAACATGTTGAATTATAAATACCCCTGAGAACTCAGCAATTACATAAAGTAGACCTAGACCCCCAAAGAGCTGGAAATGGGGACATTCATCTTAGTGTCCCTTTTGATCATACTGATCCACAGTACATGCACCATTCTCCATGACGGCATTATTAAAATAACATGGGCACGACTCAATGCAAAACAAGGTAGTTTATGTTTTGTGTATCTAGTAAGTCATACATCAACTTTCTAAACGCAATCAATGTAAACGCAGGAAACTATCCATAACTTTTCTCTCTTAATTATCTACTTTGTGGTTTTCAACAGAAGCAGGATCACTTTTAAGCAATTGTTTAGAAATGGGGGGTGGGCAGCAGAGATGTAGTGAAAACAAGCCAGAAAGAGCAGAGGCACCACAGGCCTAGAAGTGCTGGGTGGGATCACATAGCTAAAAGTTAGCCTGCTACAGTATAAAGGTTAGTATCACTCCCGAATTCACATCTATCACTAATTCTACAGTGATAGTATTAGGAAGTGAGACCTGGCTAGGGAGAGGGTAGGCAGTGGGTGCACAGCCTCATGACTAGGACCAGTATCCTAAAAGAGAGGCCCTGGAAAGCCAGCTGTCCCTTCCATCACGAAAGCACAGAGAGGAGGAGTCGCCTATGAAGAGTGGGACCTCACCCGGTAAGTGATGTACCAGCACCCTGAACTCGGCCTCCAACCTCCAGGTTCATGGGAAACAAATGTTGTTTCTGAGCCACTCAGTTCACAGTATTTTTCTTATAGCAGCCCCAACAGATGAAGACATAACCTATGTCCCCACAGGTTTGATTTTCCCACTGCACATCCATTTACATGAATATTTATGCAATTAATTAAACATATTAACTTATTCTCTTTTTTTTATAAATACAGCATTTTCTTCAAATAGTGACACTTAAAACAGAATTTTTTTCTTCTTTCTTTTTTTAATCATTCTTAGATATTTATTTTTATTTTTTTTTTATTTTGACATCAGTTATTTTTATTTTAAAGAAAAAAAAAAATAAAAACGATGGTACAAAATCTCAAAACAAGATTTTAGGAGAGCAACAATGGTTAGTACATTGTGTATTGTTACTGCCAAAGTAGTTTCTCATATTACAAAATATAGGCAAGAAATAATAAGCAAACAACATAGGTACAAACCTCTGTTTGTTTGGTTATTTAAGTCAACAGAAAATGGAAATATACTTTTTAAAGTTTTTAATACTAGGAGAAGATATCATACAATGACTTTTTGTATGTAAGTCAAAGATACAGTATAAATCTTAGAACAAAAATTAAGATTAAGCAATATTCAGAAAATTAAATGTTTCATATTACCTTATTCTCATACATGAAAATAAATGCATGTTTACACTTTTTAACGTATACTAGATTTTCACAAAAAGCAATTACTACATAGGTCAAGGTTTTGTTAGTCAGCTGTTATAATTAACAAATACCTGAAAGAATCATGAAGAAAAGTTTTAAACCTGGAGTGGTGGTACACACTTATAATCCCAGCACTCTGAGAGGGTTTGGCAGAAAGATGACAAATTGAAACCCAGCCCAAGGAGCTTAATAAAACTTTTCAAAATTTAACAAGGAAGCAGAGTTTGGTTTAAAGGCTATGGGTTCAACTCCCAGCTCTCACTCCCCACAGCTGTTGGTTATCTGACTGGCCCTGTTGATCTGGACCAGTGACAGTACTGTGAATTGCAGCAGGATCAGGGAGGGGGCAGAGAGAGCCCATCCACCTCCTGCATGGCTGGGATGTATGTAAGAGAAAGAGGCAGGGGCAGGGTCCCACAAACTCATTTGAGGGCAAGCACTCAGATTCCTCCTATAAGTTCCTCTTTTTAAATCTTTACCACCTCCTACCAGTGCCAATCTGGGGAATAAGATCTTTAACACATGGAGGCTAACTTCAGAACCAAATTATACCCGAGATGATGGTTCTCTGCTTTGTTCACCAATGCACACAACTGAATCACTGGAAAAGACCACTTTTGACAACAAGACCACCAATACAACATTGCAGTAACAATCTGCTTTGGAAGACGTTGAAGAATATTACAAATTTAGGTGCAAGCATGTCTAGAATAGTTATCCTTTCTGTTAGGGGACCTATTCCAAGACATTCCACGGATGCCTAAAATCACGGACAATGCCACTCCTAAGTATACGACTTTTTTATGCATGCTTTATGATAAGTCTAATTTATGAGCTAGGCACAGTAAGTGATTAACAATAACTGAAAGCAAAACAGACACTATGATAAAAATTAAAACTTATAAATTGTTTACTTCTAGAATTTCCATTAAATAGTTCTGAACTATGGCTTACTTATTATGGATCGCTAAACCTAGAAAGTACAACTGGGGGGGGCCTGGCCCTAGCTCAGGCCTTTAAGTGGCTGCTTCCACAAAGCTGTCAGCCTCAGGTTGCTGGAGTTCGAACCTCACACCTCTCCAGCTGGCCAAAAGTGCCCTGAAGGCATTCGAGGAACAAAAAAAAAAAAAGAAAGTAAAGAAAGTACAACTGCAGATAAGAAGATAAGAAGGGCTGCAGCACCTCAGTATACCCTCATGGCCAACTAGGACAGAATGCACATTTATTTATACACACTCCTTTAGCATTAATTACAGGATTATCGGTACTTCTCCTTTACATTTATTTTTTTTTTCTCTCCTTTACATTTATTTCAGATAGGGAACCACAGTGAATTTTTAAAAACTGTATATCAGAATTGCACTTCAAAATAATCAAAGGATATTACCAAATATTTATTATAAAAAGAGTTCACTAAGTATAATAAAATTAAGAATTGACTATTTACAGTAATGCAACCAATGTACAATGTACTTATCTGAAGCCAAATACCTGCAAAGCGCTTACCTTCGAAACTTGGGGAAGGAAAAGCAATCATCATTAGCACAGGAAGAATCATCACTCCATCTATCATCGTACAGCTATGGGAAGAAAAGAGGTATGTGAAAAAAATTAACTGCAGAGTGGCACGTTAAATTAAGCATGTCATCTTCAAACTGTCATTTAAGGCCTTTCTTACAAATTACCCTAATATATATGCCTTACATTTTAGTATATTAAAAACATGTCTTTTTTTAATGGATTTAAACAAGTCATTGAAGGAGTCAGATGTGCCTCTAATTGGTGGCCTCTCTAAGGCTACTTTCTCTGAGCCTACCCTCTTTAGAACTCTGTAAGAAAATGAAGGGAGTGTAAGGATTAAGGTTGAAAATAAAGCATGCCCAAAATTTTTAGGTTTGAATTTTATATTACTCTATTGTACACAAGTAGTGACACTATATTAAAAATCCCAAGAAGATGAACGCTCTATTCTGATGTGATGTTAAAGATTAAAAAAACTGAATAATTACTGGGAGGTAGCTCAGTGGCCTAAGCACCTGCTTGGCAAGCACAAGGTCCTGAGTTTGATCCTCAGGACCCCAGTTCTACATGCCATGCCGGCCCCAAAACCCCAGGCACACTGTGCCGGCCACTGAAACCCAGCATGGTGGCACATGCCTGTAACCCCAGGAGGCTGAAACAGGAAGATCACTGAGTCCAGAACTGCACAGCACAACCTTGTGCCAAATAAAAGATTTTTTTAAAAAAAGAAAAATGAATAATTTAAACAAAGCTATTGTTTGTGCCTTCTCTTTTAAAAATCACAGGAGGTAGAAAAACCTTCATCTAACAAGGAAAAAAAAAGCAAGCAAAAAGATCTATACCTCTTCTATGGTAAAGCAATACATTTCTACATTATTCTTGATTTAGAAAAAGGATAGATATAGAGAACTATCAGTGAGAAAACAAGCTAATTTTTAGAAATTTCAAGTTGGTCTTGGTCTCAAACTACAATGGCATACACTCAATTGTTTGAATTTAAAACACTTCTTTTTTTTTAATTTATTTATTTGTGTGTGTGTGTGTGTGTGTGTGTGTGTGGCCAGCTCAGCCCACCAGGGGGCGGGGCTGGCTGGCATGTGGTGCTGGGGGATTGAACCGTGGTCCCTGTGCTTTGGTAAGTTTGTTCTAAGTAGGTGCTTTAGACCACTGAGCCATCTCACCAGCCCCGAAACACTTCTATTATTTAAATAATTACCACAACTAGAAATCTTATGTCAGTTGATTAGGTACAACTTTCTAGTAAAACAAGACAACTGCCACAGTTCTTTGAAAGCTAAGTAAGCAGGCTGTTTTAAGTCTTCTCAGCCTATTACCTCGTTTACCTGCGGGCTCCTCTGGCCTTCTCAGCATGGTACCTGTCCTGCTTAGTGGTCTGCCTGTTTATTTGCCACACTCCCATCACATCTTACCACTTCTCATTTTAACCTATTTCCTTTTTCTTCCATAATTACATTTTAGTCTATCTCTAAATAGCAAGGAGGGAGTAAAGCAGATTTTTATGTACCTTCCTTTTATATTTTTAAAAGCATATGGAAACTTGAGTGGGCTTCTCTCACTAGTGCTGTTTTTGTTGTTACTATTTTCATGTTCACATGGATGCTTCCTGTAGCAGGCTTTTTCTGTGCGGGGACGCTGGAGCTATGCTCTCACACTCCCTGGCCTCCAGTACTATAAAAACATGGTACTGTACTGTGTTACAGCAGCAGAAATCAGACTAACACGTGGAGAAACCTCTCCCCACCAGAAACGACTTCGGCTGCCCCAAAACAGCCCACTCATCTCCAAAACAGTACTTGTTGGGTGTGGCACGACAACGTTTCGAACAAAGTCTCTCTTTGGAGGCTACCTCAGCCCCTGAGATGGGCTAGCACAAGAGCCAGCCCTCGGAGAGCGGGAATCACACAATGTGCTAGCAGAGGCGTGGTTCGCTGGCGGGGTCCAGCCAGGCACTGCAGTTTCAAGGGCCATTCAAGTGGGATTAGAGGTTATCCTGGCTGGTTACTAGGAAATGTGTCCTCCTCAAGTGCTCTAAAATCACTGAAGAGACTAGAGATTGATTATATTAATAATATAAACACTGAAAAAGGAGTTAGGGTGCCCTGACATCTCCTATCCCTAGCAGCTCTTCCCCAAACCACTTTACTAAAAAAGGTAATGTTCCTCTCCATCTAATATGAAGCAGTCTCCCCAAATTCAAATTTTTAAATATGTGAAAAATAAACTTGCATCTAACATCACATATAAACACTATCCTGAGTTGAGATTTTTATTAATGATAATATGACCAATGACCATCAGCATTATCTTAAATACTGCATTACTAACTTCTTAAATCTCTTTTTCACATATAGCTCTAACTTGGACGTAGGCTGAATGTTTTCCACGAGCTGAAGGCTTGGTGCTCCAGGAGGCCCTGCTGGGGTGGCAGGCAGAAGATGGGGTCTAACAGGCCCAAGGCCTTGGAACAGTTGGGATTATGCAGCAGTCCTTTTCCTCCCCTTTCTTGCTAATGAGTCATGACGAGCTGGCTCTACAGTGCCCTCTCTGCCACTGCCACCCAGTACCCTCCTTACAGCCAAAAGCAGTGGGTCCAGGTGGAACCACTGAAGATGGGAACTTCAAAAAACCATAAGGTTTTTTTTCTTTGTAAGGTAATGATCTCAAGTATGCTGTTACAGCAATGGAAAACTAACACATATAGGTTTTATAATATATATACATATATATATATATGTATATATATGGGATTGTCATGCCATCAAGTCACTGGAAACCACTGAAATAAACTATACTTCACCTCAATCATAATCTTTGAATTTCAGGTCTTTCAGTCATTAATTTATCCATGCACTCAAAAACTACTGAACATCTGCCATGTGCTACACGTTAGAAATTTGAAACAATAAAAAGACATACAAAGAGCCAGCCAGATAACGCAGCAGATTAAAGTGCCTGCTCAGCCAGATGCAGGGACCGGAGTCAATCCCCAGCATGCAGTGTCAGACCACCCCTGGGGCTCAATGAGACAGTAATTGAGATGGGGCATGATGGCATGCACCTGTAATCCCAGCACTTGGGAGGCTGAAAACAAGAGGATCGCTATGAGTCCGATCTATGTAGTGAGACCCTGTAGACCCTGAACTAAATACATTAAAAAAAGAAAAGACATACAAATATGGTCCTTCCTATGATAAAACTAAGATTTGTTTCTGGTAATCATACAACCATCTAAAAGACTGAAAAATTTAAAAACTGAAACATAACGGTGGTAATAGTTTAAAAAAAAAAACACTGCAAAAAATCAATCTGAGATTTTCTGGAGGGTGGGGGCACCTCACTGAGGAAGTAACATTTGAACAAGATCAGGAACTAGATGGATGAGCAAATGATACTAGACAAAGGGTCAGAACCTGGTAGAGTTGGAGAGCACAGACAGGCATACGTTTCCTCAGCTTATTGAAAGGCCTGTGGCCAGGAACAAGTGCCCAGAGGCATACCATAGAACTGACAACATGAGAGAACGGCCAGGACTCAGAGGGCCTGGAAGCATTGTAAGAAGTTGGAGAAGTCAGGGTAGTACTTGCCTAAGACATGTTAAGCCTTGGGTTCGACCTGAAAGTGGGAGGAAGAGAAAGGAGGGAAGGAGAGGAAGGAAGAATAGGAAAGGAGACCCAAGAAACCTGAGGAAGGAGGGAAGAGCAGAACTCAGAAAGGCATCCTAGGCCCTCTGTTCACCTCTCTCCTCACTGTGATGAAGCCCCCTTTGTTCCGCCATCATCCACTCTTTGCTTCCCTTAGCCCCCACCATCCCACCCTTTCAGGTCCTCCATCTGGCCCCCTTCTACCACTCTCTGGACCTATCTGTGTACAGGAGGCTCCCTGCAATTGGGCCTCTCCATCAGACTAACTGCTACCCAACCTCCCAGTCTCAACTTGAATGGCACTTCTGCCTAGAAGACAGTCAGTTCCCAAATACCTTTTCTTCACTCTCGTATGACCACTTCATTTATCTTCATCCATGGAAATTATCATAATTAATGATTACATATCTGTATCTATGCATGCATACTACATGTCCTACTACTTGTTAAACTCTGGAGTAACAAAATCTACCATCTAGGGGCCGGGGAGATGGCTCAGTGGAATAAGTGCTTCCCTGGCAAGCACAAGGGTCTGAGTTCAATCCCTGGATCCGCAAAAAAAAAAAAAAAAAAATCTACCATCTCTTATTCATCATAGCCAAAGCCAAGAGAGAGCGCCATTAGTACTTGTTGGTTGATTAAGGATTCTCCTTAAATGTATCTTAAATGTTAAAAAACCAGCAACCCTCCCTACAAGACATACTTAAAAGGAACAGCAATATTAAAAATCATAATCTTTAAACTTTTAACGTGCAGAGTGCTGGCCGGATAATAGTAAGTGTCACAAGTTAACAAACTTGAAAAATAAGATAAAATATTGTTATCTTGAAAAAAAGAAAAGTTTCAAAATCAAAAATCTGGGGCCAGGGAGATGGCTCAGTGGAATAAGCGCTTCCCTGGCAAGCGCAAGGGCCTGAGTTCAATCCCTGGTTCTGGAAAAAAAAAGAAAAAAAGAAAAATCTTTCATAAAAAAATACAATCACCATCACTATGCTTTCCATTTTACAAAGCCAACAAAATGTCATGATTATACAAGCAAAATTAATCACACTGATTTAGGTTCCTAAACAAGGAGGCAGAAAAAAAAATTATAAATTCAATCCCCTAAAATAATCCACTGTTCAAAAATAGACTCAATATACAGAAGAATCATTGAGAAGAAAAGTCAACATCAGTTACAAAGTAGCTGCCACTTCGCTCAGGGTCCAGTGTGCCTGTGCCCCGTCACCCCGCTACTTAAAACATCGCACCTCAACGCATGTTCTATGCATGTGCAGTGCAAAATTGCTACAGTGAAATCCAACATTCTGTGTAACTAATATGTCCTAAAGACAATGATACCCCAAACAGAAAAAGGAAAAACGTAGAAAAAAGAATATTCGGAAATTCCTGACCCT